AATTTATGGGCTGCATGCAAATGTATGGAGTCTATTCAAATGTATGGGATCTATTCAAATGTATGGGCTCCATTCAAATGTATGGGCTCTGTTCAAATGGATGGGCTGCATTCAAATGTATGGGCTGCATTTAAATGCATGGGCTGCATTCAAATGTACAGGCTACATTCAATTGTATGAGCTGCTTTCAAACATATGGGCTGCATTCAGATACAAGTCATGTACCGTAAAATCCCGCCAGAGCACCCCTACCTCCGTCATCCTTCGAGTAGGCACAGGTGCGAGGGGCGGATGGGTGAGTCCTCCTTACCGCATTCAGTACTACATGAAAAAGTACTCACCCTACGGAAACTGTTCGTGCATCTCGGACATCGACCAAAGGTCAAGAGCCAAGAGTCGTACAGACCCATCAAAACTGAGGGTTAGTGCGATCCTGGTCAAGAGGGTGGGCACCGTTGCGTACATTTCCAACAGGGTCGAGCACGCGTCTGCAGTACAGTACGGCATCACAGAGTCATACGAGGAACTGACAATCAATCACTTCCCTGGCAAGAAGTCGAGGAGGGGCGGATGGGGGAGACGGGACCCTCTGGCGGAATTTTACGGTACATGTAAGTATAAGTATGGTTACCATTAGAATGTGCCCCCCCCCCTCCCCTAACCCATTTAAAGTTAATAAACTGCAGTGTAAGGGTCTGTACTGAAATGTATGGCTTCCATTCCAATACAGTAAAGCCTGCCGTCAAGATGACCCACCTGTCTCAGAGGACCACTAGTAGCACTACAACCTGGACCAAAGGATGTGATTCCCGTAGCTATTCAAAAGACGTGACTTTAGTAACGTCTTTCGCTAGCCAGAGTCCATAGCGCTTTACTTTGGTAATCGTGTGTTTTTGTCTGGCGTCGGCATGACTAACGCTATCCCGTGTATGTCCCGTACCGTACCATCGAAGACAGCTGGTCACCTTATTCAAATAGGGCTTTCAGCTGCAAGATCACAATGTGAAGCAACTTGGAAGAATGTGTATGTATGCGAAGTGCATTGGGGGAATGCATGCGGGGCGATAGGGTGGGTTCGAACCCAGGTTCGGCGTTGAAAAAAAAGAGATAGAAAAGATGAAATAAGGTAGTGTCGTATTAATACGAGAGAGCTTGACAGTTCAGGGCCCTCGCTACTGTAAGTCAACAAATATTCATAAGAAGAAAAAAAGGGACCAAAGAGCTACAAGTTACGCTATAATTATCCACTAACACCACCTGTTACTTTGCAATCAGCTCATGCGATAACATTGCACGGCACTGACCAAAGGTACTGACGCTCTGCACCTAACTGGCAATCAGCTCTAGCACATCGTGGATGTGCACTCCAACAGACTTCCAGCTTGGGGGGGGGGGGGGAATTGCGTGCGAGGTGTACGGGATCCCACGTGATCCCCTTTTTTACGATTTTAAGTGTAGTCGTTCGGTTACATGGCCGCAATTCCGGTTTATTCTGCTCATTCGAGAATTATATGACCTGGGTCTAAAATACAACCAGAATGTTGGCTACTGTCATAGCCTAATGTATGTCTACAGCATTGGGTACATTGTGTGTATGTATGACCCATAACGATTCTGGCCGTACGGGCGCCACGTGTGCCATAAGGCAGCAGCATCAAAAGAAGAAAAAGAAGAAAAAAGAGAATCTAACTGCACTCATAAACAAGCTGCCTATAGCTATCACGATCAGCAGCAACGAGAGAGAGAGAGAGACAGAATTGTACGATTCCTTGATCAGTCTCTGGTGCTGGTGAACCAATTGATTGTGAAGGGGGCGACCGCTGGGTCTTTCTTGATCCCGGCACCATTCCATCCAAGAAATAGAGGGAGTAGCCATCATGATGCCTTGCCACACGTCGAAACCACTTCAACTTGATATGCTTTTAAAGTTGAATCAAGGCGTGTGAACAGGCCAATATCATTTTTTTGACTTCCAGTAGTACTGACTCATTTGTGCGATGATGATAGTATTTGACTCCAAGCAACTTACGCAGATACCTGAGCTCAAAAGCTCTAATTCGATTTAGGATAGCTTATGAGATGGTTAGGGGCAAGTGGATTATGCCGGCATAACTTTTGGCAAAACCATGTCCTTTTTTGTTGTCCTTTTTTGAGAATGAGCATAAAATGGCATCCTAATACTACTACTACTACTACTACTACTACTACTACTACTACTACTACTATCCGAAAGACAAGGGCAAATGCCCACTGAAGCTGTTTTACACACCTGCTATTGAAGGCATACGTTTTGGCATAATCAGGTCCTTTTTGAGAAGGAGCATAAAATGGCATCAGAAAAACAAGGAAAGATGCTCAATGAGGCTGTTATATAATTATGTAGGACTGAGTGACCAGTCCAGGCCCCATGACTAGTCACGGTCCCCGTGACCAGTCAAACAGTCACAACCCCCCCCCCCCCCTGACCAATCACAAATTAATTACTTTACCAGTCACAATGCCCCATGACCAGTCACAAATCACCATACATGTACATGTGTAAAGCACACAGTTCGTGACTGCTCGCGGAGTGCTTCGTACTGGAGGATTCGTTGTGGAAACTAGAATTCCCTATGAGCGGTCACAGAATACAGTTGTGGCTACTATAATTCCATGCGAACAGTTACATGCGGAATGTACAGTTGCGACCACTTTCTCTGTGAGTAGTCACAGGCAGAACATAGGTATTTTTGTATTATTATTTTATCTCTTTTCAAACAATCCACAAGCCAAGAAGATGTGTAGACGGAAGAACCGTATCTTTGTGATACTGATCGCAAACATGATTAATTCCTCCAGGCCATTGAGAACCCAATTCTTAACCTTATCTAACCAAAGTTCTTGTCAAAGCAGCATGCCAGTTCAAGAACGTCTCGTCAGACATACATATCGATACATGTCTGGTGCACTCTCACTAACAAGCAGGCATCGCAGGCTACATTCGCACCAACAATCACAAGAAGTAGTGAGTGAATATTTCTATAAAATTAATAAGTAGAAGGAAAATACGTAATGGACAAATGAAGGTGTGGAGGATCGCCCAAAAACACTGACAAGGAGACTGTAAACGGTACACAGTACTCGTATGCATGTACAATTGCAAAGTTATTTTGGGAGTAGAAATGAAGGTGTGTTCGAAGCAGTAAACTGTGTAAGCCTGTCCCTCCAGGAAATCGCGATTCCACGGATGCAACAAATTTCGCGATTTTCGCCCAAACCCGCGATTTCCCGCATTTTTTGTTTTTTCTGCACTATAATTATCTCACTTTTTTATGCACTTTTCACGCAGTGCTTTCCATGATCCTGTAGGTTATTTGCACAGTACGACTCGTACTACTCCCAAGTAGATATACGATGCAACAAATTTCGTGATTTGGCCCAAATCTGCAATTTTCTGTAAATAATTCCGCGAATCCTGGTAAGTTCTGCATCATTCCGCACTTTTCGTCGCATTTTTTGTTGTTTTCTGCCGCAATTTCTTGCGCAAGTTTTCGAGAGTTTTTTCCGCAAATTCCCGCAGGGACAGGTAAGCACTACGTTGAGCCACAATATTGAAATACAGTTTCCTGCAGTCAAAACAAAACACAAAATGCAGTGTCCACCAGAAAAAGAAAAAATATTCACCATAAAAAAACAAAAAAAAACAAGACACTCACACTTCTCTGGTCTAGTTCGCCATTCTTATTGCTAACATGACTTGATTTAATTTCTTACGCTGGTTCTTGAGAATGGATCTAGTTCGCCATTCTTATCGCTAACATGACTTGATTTAATTTCTTACGGTGGTTCTTGAGAATGGATCAATGATGTCTTGACAAAGTGTCTGAAGTCCTTGCTTCAATTGATGTCTTGAATAGATGTCTTCCCTGAACGACTTCAACTGAGAGGCAGTTTCAGTTTCAACAAGCTGGACATTGTTTTTATGTGGAATCTTCCACAAGAAAGACAGAGCTACACACACGAAGGTGCTTGATGTACTTGAAGTACTCAGTACCTTCTTGGAGATGAACATCTTTTCATTTCCATCTTCATTATATTTTCGTCTCTGCATCGTCGACGATGTCCACTTCTGACTCCGTAATCTTGTCACCCATCCTCTCCAAAAACACAAAGCGAGTGCTGCTTGTATGCTGGATCAGTTGAAATCAGTCTCCGTTCTAGCAAGATCGGCATGCAAAAAATTACTTGACTGAAAATATTCCGAAATAGTTTTTCTGAAGGACGAAGTGTTTTTCTTCAAATATGATGAATAGCACAGTCTACTAGTACTAGCCAGAATGTCCTCTCAAAAGAGATTCTATCTGAAGCCTGCAAGATTGCGACCACCCTTCATTTTGGAGAGGAGCCCACATACACCAGACTCGAGCTACAAGTAAACTACTACAACGTCATGTCCATTCAGAAAAAGATGATATCCTAGCTTTTGACCATAAACGGGTCAAATAATAATTTTGAGTTTTCGTCACAATGTTTTTGGCAATCCCCCATGCATGGAATGCTCTTCCAATTGTGTTTTTGAAGTCTATTTCTCCAAAAAGCAAGCCATAAGAAGAATAGGATTTCGGCCAGGTTTTGCCCCTAAAACACTGAATTGGGTAAAAACCATGAAAATCCAGGCCGTTCACTCCACTTGCATAAATGGAGGTTTGCACATTGCAAACCGTAGTTAAAGGAGAAGTTAAGGCAAAAATTAAAATTTCACCAGTTGTAGTCTTCGGGGTGCTGAGTCGAATGGTCTTGGTCCGAGAAAGCTGAGACGCTCCCTTCCTACTTGAATCCCAATCGAACTCGCGCACTTCCACCGAAACTGGGTGACTGCGCCCTACTAGATGGGGATTTGTATGCAAAATGTCACTAAAAGCGCCATTTCGTTCTTATAAAAGCACGGATGACCGCGATTGGCCCATATGTTGTAGTCTTTTGGACGCTGAGTCGACTGGTTTTGGTCCGAAAAGGCTGCGATGCAGCGTTCCTCCTTTATTCCCAATCGAACATGGTTGCGTCAGTTTGCGTCTCACAGATTTGCTGAATTTTGCGAGCGCTGGGGAATCCGTCATATCAAGTCGTCCCCTCACTACCCACAGTCGAACGGACATGCGGAAGCAGCCGTAAAGGCAATGAAGTACCTGGTGGAAAAGACTACCAATGACGGTAATCTAGACACCGATGACACCGATGCTTTCCAGCGTGGCCTTCTCGAGTGGCGCAATACTCCTGGCACTTCGGGAAAGAGTCCTGCCCAGTTACTGTATGGTCACCCACTCGTCTCCTTCGTTCTCGCCCAATGGAGCCAGTTCGACTCCCACTGGCAAGACACCGCATCTGACATGGATGATGTTGATCGAGTAGACCAGCCTCCCAGTCAGCCTCACCGAGAGCTTCCCCACTTGTCTATCGGGACGCACGTTGACATTCAGCACCCGAAGACAAAACGGTGGTCTTCCCGCGGCGTAGTCGTGGCTATCGGTGACCACCGCGACTACTACGTCAAGCTACCGAGTGGACGCGTATATTGGCGCAACCGTCGCTACCTCCGCCCGTACCGCCCTCCTACTCCAGCTTCAACAGCCATGCCTGCATCGTCTCCCGTACCCGACGCTGCACCACAAGCAGTCCCTGTGACTCAGTCGTCGTCACAGTCAACTGTTCAGGTACCACCTCGAACAAGCCAACGTCCCCGGCGACAGAATGTCCCATTTAACATTATTTCAACGCGTGGACAATCGTACAATTAACACTCGATCTGTTCAGTTGTTGATGTCCATTGTACCTATTCAATTGTCATTCCCATTGTTTCGCAGTTGAAAACCTTCATGTATATAATTTTTGCAATTATCCCTTTTACAAGTCTGTTGGAAGTTGCTGCAGCTCCGCGACATGTCATTTGCTACGCACATGCAATTTTCACATTATTTTTTTGTTGATTAGATAAACACTTGTACGTTTTTATCTTAGGAGGGGCATGATGTATATGGCATACTTCCGTATATGGTGCAACTCCCGCACCCCGTATGCACCCGCCTAGAGCTCCTGCTTCCATATGCGCTCGTACACACTTTCCTTGGGGTTCGTACACACTTCCCTTTTGTGTTCGCACACTGCTTGGAATGTTGTTCTTCGTTTGTTGTCCTCCTTGCTAGTTGTGAATAAACTCTATCTGACACCACACCGGGCAGTCCACCATCTGCCGCAAGTTTAATGCAGGCAACTGCTCCTTTAATCAATGCCGCTTTAAGCACTGCTGCTCCTTCTGCTCTGGCACCCACCCGGCCAAGGAATGCCCAGCCCGCAAGTAGCTCCATGAGTACTCCTTCCTCCTATCTTCCTTTATCTGCACATAAACCCCACACGCCCATCATTATTAGCGCACTTAAAATAGAATTAGAATCACACCCCGATGACCAGTTGGTCACTTCCTTATTGCATGATCTTGAATTTGGTTTTCGCATTGGTTTTGGCAACTGTCTGTCTGAGTCTTTTTTGTCACGTAATTTGTCCTCCGCTGCTGACAATGCAGAAGTAGTCGATGACTATCTCCGCCAGGAATGTGAGCGCGGGCATACGGCTGGCCCGTTTGAGGAGCCTCCTGTTCTCCCCATTCACACCTCTGGCATTGAAGTTGTACCTAAGAAGTCGGGTGGCGTCCGCCTAATCATGCACCTCTCCGCTCCTGCTGGCAGGAGCATAAATGATGGCATCAAGAACTCAGATTTCTCCTTCCAAATGATCTCGGTGGATACGGTGGCCGATCATGTCATGCGCACTGGGAAGGGGGCATTGCTATGCAAAGTGGACATCAAGCATGCATTCCGGCTCTGTCCCGTTCATCCCAACGACTGGCCTCTACTCGGAATATGTTGGCGGGGGAAGTTTTATGTCGACAAAGTGCTGCCTTTCGGCCTGCGCTCCGCACCAGCTTTATTCAACCGCCTAGCCGAAGCACTGGCCTGGCTACTTCGCCACAACTACGGTTTGAAGTGTCTGGAACACTACCTTGACGATTTCATCAACGTCTCACCACCAGCGCCGGTGGTCGCCACATCAACAGCAGCGGTGCACATGGCCACCATCCTGGAGGTTTTCGCCAACCTCGGGGTTCCCATCGCGGAAGGAGCAGACAAGGTTGTCGGTCCGGCCACGGTCATGACAGTGCTCGGCATTGAGCTGGATACTCAGGCTCTGGAAATGCGGCTGCCGGCCGACAAGCTTTTCGAGATCAAAGCGCGGCTCAACGAGTGGGCGGTCAGCCCATCGTGCACGAAACGTCAACTGTTGTCACTAATTGGCCTCCTCTCATTTGCGTCCAAAGTGGTTGCGGCCGGCCGCACCTTCACCCGTCGTCTCATCCATACCAGCACCACCGTGACAGGCTTGGATGAAGAAGTGCACCTGGATGCCGATGCTCAAGCAGACATCCGTTGGTGGAAGGAGTTCCTCCCACACTGGAACGGCCGAGCGCTTCTGCGTGACCCAGTATGGTCGAAGCCCCCAGACTTTGAGCTCTATACTATTGCTTCCGGCCTGGGATTTGGAGGTTTTTTCAGAGTGCCTGGTTTTGCCAAGAATGGGGCCCGGAGCACCAGCACGGCCCTTTCTCCTCTATCATGTGGCGGGAGATGTATCCCATTGCTGTGGCCGCGCAATTGTGGGGCCCGCAATGGCAGATGAAGAAGATCCTCCTCCATTGCGACAATCAAGCTGTCGCCACAGCATGGGAATCCGGCTCATGCCGGAATCTGGAGGTCATGAACCTCATACGGACCACCCTGCGTATTGCGGCACGCTACAACTTCATCCTGTTGATCCGTCACATCTCAGGTATCGACAACAGTATTGCGGACGCCCTCTCCCGTCTACAGCTCAGTCGCTTCCGCTCGCTAGCTCCGTCGGCCAATCCGGACCCAGTTCCACTGCCAACTCAGATCGTCTAATGATGTCTCACAATATATTCACAGCCCCATGGGGTGTCCGTTTTGCTGTGTGTGGCCTTCGCCGTCACTACACTGACTTATTGTTTTTTTTTTCTGCCATACCAACTACACCGAAACCAATTTCTCAGTTCAATCTCTCCCTTACTATTCGCCCACCCTTTAGCACGGGCGGCTCCCCTCCCTACACTGCCCCCTCCCCCCCCCCCCCCCCCCCCCGCTTCGCTGCTCTCTTTTGGAAGGAAGTGGCTATGCAGTGCTCATATAGTGCAATCTTGCAAAAACCAAAAATTGGCTCTCCACGGTCATAGGCGTTTTGGCATCGTGGTATAGCTATGCCCCTATGTCAGGGTATTAAGTTGAGTACTGGGATGCTCATTGCACTCAGAATGGCACCGGGATGCCTATGCGAGCGATAATTATGTGGGCCGGCATCAAGATGGCCTTAGCGTGGATGCGTACACGTTACACTCTGGGCTTGATGCGAGGCTAAGTGATGCATTCTTAACTGTTTACGGCAATTCACATTTAATTGCGCGGTACTAAAACAAGCAGTATGGGGCCAAGTTGCCCACAGCCATAAGCGAGCACCGGGATGCTTTAACACCCAGACGGGCACCGGGTTGCGCGTAACAATACTAAGGAGAGCACCGGGATGCATATGTGAGCGGGTTGCGTTGTAAGGGGCACCGGGATGCCTATAATTGTTAGTCAAGCGGGCACCGGGATGCCCATATGAATTAAGCGGTAAGCAAGCACCGGGATGCTTATCACACCTGGACGGACACCGGGTTACACGTATTAATAAGTCCGGCACCGGGATGCCCAAGAGGATGGGCAGGTAGCGAAAGGGATACCTAAAATGCCCATATTTAGTATAGCTGGCACCAAGATGCTCTAAATACGCAAACTGGCGACGGACGCTGATGATTGTGAGGCGAGCACCGGGATGCTCAAATGCGTCCAAACCGGCGCATTAATACCGGGATGCTTCGGTAAATAAATACGTATTGCAAGCAGCCAGTTAGTTTGCCTTCAAAGTCATTGTAGCTGGGCACAGCGATGCGATGGTCTGTCATGTTTTGCTCTTCGTACTGGCTTAACTGCTTGCTTATTTTATTATCCACTGCGTTTGGTGCTGCTGCCGTGTCCCCACATTGCAGATGGGTGGGTTCGATATCATTCACCTCCAGCCACCACCAGGAGGGAGATACTCGACGCTCAAGCCAGCAGGCTCCTGGCCCAATCGGTGGCGCCCCGGACACGCCAGACCTACAGCCCTGGAGTCAGGTCCTACATTCAGTTTGCGCAGCAGCTCCGCTTCAGCCATCTGGCACCGACGGTCAATGATATAGTTCTCTTCATGACGTCACTGTCCGCGTCACTGTCTGGGAAGACAATCAGGGTATACCTAGCAGCCGTCCGCCACCACTTTGTATTGAATGATGGTCCGGTGGATCTGCTCAGAGCACCCAGGATACTGGCCTTGCTGAAGGGCATCGACCGTGACAAGCTGACGTCCAGGCCAATGCCTGTGCCTCCGTCATCCAGACGTGCGGTGACACCCAACGACCTCAAGGCTATCCGCGAATTTCTGGAGTTCTCGCATTATGCACCGCAAGACAAGGCCATGCTCTGGGCAGCAGTACTCACAGCTTTCCACGGGCTCATGCGTGTGAGCGAGTACACGGCGCCATCACCAACAACGGTGGATGCTCACAGGACTCTTCAGAGGAGCCATGTCGCCCTCTCAGAGGAGAAGGTCACGATCACCCTAGGGGTAACGAAGACGGCACAGTCGGGCGCTGGTGGCACAGTGTTACTGCATGCAAGCAGGTATCCCGCAACCTGCCCTGTGCGTTCAGTCGCTGCCTACATAAGTGCCAGGGAGTGGGCGGATACAGGTGCCCCATTCTTCGCCTTCCGCGAGGGGCGCTACCTAACCCCGGGCGACGTGAACGCCATTCTCAAGAGGGCTCTCGGCCCAGGCGTTTCAAGCCATTCTCTGCGGATCGGTGGTGCTACGGCCATGGCCGAACGACAGGCCCCAGAGTGGCAAATTCAAGCGGCAGGGCGCTGGTCAAGCTCTGCGTACAAGGCGTACGTCCGTGTCCCGTCGGGCATGCCAGCTTATCAGCAGACAGAGCTAGCGTAGAGAGCAGTTCGAAGCTTCACGGGGTTCATGTGCCTAAGTTGCATTCAAGTCACGGCCCTGCGTCCGCGGCCACCCACTCCCTTTCTTGGAGGCATGTGGGGTTGGCGGTCCATCGCCTGCCCGCAGCTTCGGGAAAACACATGACACCGGGTTGTCATCGCAAAATGCCCCCAGAGGTGGCCGGGCACCGGGTTGCCCAGGGTGACCGCGGCCCACGTCTTCAAAATGTTTCTCACCTTATCACTATTCCCTTGTTCCCTGATCATTGCCTTGGAACAGTATCACTTTGCTCTCAGATGTTTCAAAATTTGATTCGAATGATTAATAAATTTCGGGCACATGAAACCCCTCCAAAAAATACCAACCGTGATCCGTTGTTGTGTGGAGTGAATGTTGAAATGGAGGTTTGCACATTGCAAACCGTAGTTAACATTCACGAAACCAACAAGCCAAAGGCGCCATGGCAACCAGTAAACGAACCCGCAAAAATAACAATAATTACTAAGAAACAGAAAAAAAATCAAGTTAGTGTGACAACAAATGCAAGGTTCCCTTTCCGGTGAAAGTGCTGCAACTGAGTGTGTCATTGCTGACCAACAATTTGTTTTCCCCACCCTCCACTCCCACTGTACAAGTATTACTGGTACACATG